TAATAATAATTAATTTATTATGTCAGAAGAAAAGTGTGGAAACACTTGTCAGTTCATTTTTAAAAAGCGTAATATTAAAGCAAAGGGTGCTCGAAAAAGACAGGACACTTCAGAATCAGGTAAACCACTTTTCCATTTTTGTAGTTATTCTTATTGTATATTAAAATGTATTTCAGAAAATAGCGAAGATGAACATGAAAATACTGTTATCAAACCTTTATCAAGAAAAAGAAAAGTAAATTTAAATATTCAAAGTACTGCTGATACTAAGAAGAAGAAAGATGACACTAATGAATCACTAAGTGATACTGATGAAAATGATGAAGCAGTTTCAGTTAATTACAAATCAAACAGATCTGCAATGCCAAGCGGACCATCTGATCAATTAGCCACAGCTATTCTGGTAACTGAATCCAGTTCATCATATAATAAATTTATGTTGTAATTAAATTAATTAAATTGAATTTTACAATTTTTTAGGAAACTGAAACTGAAAAAGACCGAGATGCTCAAGCAATTTTTGAAAAACGACTTGAAATTAATAAAGAACTTGAAGGACAGGTAGATGACAAGGTGTACAGAGGATTAAATAATTATGCCCAATATTATAAACCTAAGGACACTGCTGCAGGAAATGCAAGCTCAGGTATTCATTTATTTAGTTGATGATATTATAAATATAATCAAATACATACTAAAAGCATTATTTAATTATAGGGTTAGTTAGGAAAGGTCCTATCAGAGCCCCAGCTAACTTAAGAGCTACTGTTCGATGGGATTATCAACCAGATATATGTAAAGATTATAAAGAAACAGGGTATTGTGGTTTTGGAGACAGTTGTAAATTTTTGCATGATAGAAGTGATTATAAACATGGCTGGCAACTGGAAAGAGAATGGGCTTCTGGTGAATATGGACATGAAAGTGATGATGACAAAAAATACGAAATTGACTCTGATAAAGAAGATTTGCCATTCAAATGTTACATTTGCAGGAAAAGTTTTGTTAATCCAATTATTGTAATTTCAATGCATTAGAATATTGGATTAATTATACTCAATTAAATAAAATCTACCAATCGCTGCACAGTGTACAGTATTAACAGAGCACCTCGAGGAATGCCGTTAATGGATTTTCCTGTTAATTAAAACAAATAAAAGATTTTATTTGTAAATTAAAATAACTTATGAACTTACTGGTAAAAATATTTGAAAACTCTCCAAAAGTGTTAAAAAATAATTATTTTGCTGCACTTTAACGAGAATATTTTGTACCAATTTGGAATCATAAACAACGTCTTCAGCTGAAGTAAATTTTACATCTAAGTTGCTGCTCACTGATAACCACGTTAGCCAATTAGTTAAAACAGAGTCCGGCTGAAAATACAATTCATCATTTTTCTTTTAAAACAATGTTTACTGTATTGCATAAAGTATTTTGATAATTGATAAAC